GGGTGAAGCCCAGCTGTCAAGTCTGGCAACGTGCGCAGTAGATGCGCGTACGAAAATGGTGGTTGTCATATTGGCCGCGTGGCCATGGCGGGTGGTAAGCATCAATCGTCACGTTAGATCGCACAACACGATCTTCACTTTGTTGATTTCTTTGGGCGTGAGGTTGCCGAGTTTCGCCGGCTGTTTCAAAGTCGAAAATGGAGAGACACACGCGCGCACACGTGTGTGAGCAGCAGCAGCAGCAACAACACCAACAACAACAACAACAACAACACAAGCATCATGTACCTGTTCGTCGATGGGCGACCGCGACCGCGCGATTTTCTTCTGATGGCAACGGATGCGACGCAAGAAGTGAACAGCACACATTCATACACATCCACAAACACATATTCATACACATGCAAAACAAGAGCGTGAGCGCCCGCCAAGCGTGGCATCAGCAGCAACAGGGTGGATGGGGGGGGGGTGAATGCAGCACGCGAAGCGGTGGTGAGTGTATGTCAATGGTGCAACTCACGGTGAAGCCTTTGTGTTAGTGGTCGGAAGTGGTGGCTTCTGTCACGACGGGGGCAACACAGCGGCGCAAACACCACACAAAAGGGAGATGTTACGTGACTCAAAGAGTATTGCAGTGAAACAATCGCAGCAGATCACCAGAATCGACAGCCACAACGCCGACAACACCCACCGATGAAGACAGCAGCGGAGACGCTGTTGACGACAGCAACGATGAGGATGACGATGTTAGCGATGAGGGTGACGGGAACGGTGCAGCCAGCAGCCGCCGTTGCTGGCGGAGAGTTGCCCGAATCTGCTCTTTCAAGTTCTTTGGAAGCGACTGAGCAACGCAGACACGGCGGCAATGGTGAGCGTGAGAGAATATGCGTGTGCGTGCGTTCGATATCAGGTGTGTAAAACATATTGTGCGTGTGTACATGTACTCGTTTGTGCGTGTGTGTGTGTGTGTGTGTGTGTGGAACCTGTTTGCGTGCGTTGTAGATTTGATACTTGGCAAACAAGTCCTCAAGCTGCACCGTTGTGCGTGTGTGTGTGCGTGTGCGTCCGTTGTGTGTGTGTGCATGTGCGTGCGTGCGTGTGCATGTGCGTGCGTGCGTGTGTTGGAATGTAAAGCTGAGTCAGGTGTTTACGACGAATCAAACGTACCACAGGCCTGGCAGCATAAGGTGCACACATGAACAGCGCGGTGCTCACCTGTGTGTTGACGGTGTGAAGCTGCTGCTCGTGCTGCAGCTGCCGCCGTTCGCTCTCAAGATCGGCAGAGGACACGCGGGCGAGGAGGTGGTGGAGCCCCGACGACACAGCGTCGTCCTGAACACAAACACACACACACAAATACACACACACACACATACGCACGCACATTCGCACACATGTGAATGTGCAAAGACGACAGCAGGAGCAAAACCAGGAGAAGAGCCGCGGGGGGGGGGTGTGGTTGGATTTGTGAGCACAGGTGCATTGCTGGATGACGCATTGATTGGGTGTGGTGCGTTCCATGATAGCGAAGCAACATTCATCAAGTGGCGCAACATCATCAAGATGGTACAGGTTGACTGTACCTCGACTCGCAGTTCCGCCTGTGCACGCAGCAGTGCCGCCGTGACCTGGTGCACACACGCGCACAGCAGTTGGGGTGGTCGTGAATACAGAAGGCATGAGTAGTCGGGTACAACGAAACGCGTGGGGGAGGGGGAAGAGCACACGATGTTAGCCACGACGAACAGGTCTTACATGGACAGGTGGGGCAAGACACAGCAACACACACACACACACACACACACACACACACACACCTCGTCGTGTGGGAGAATGGACGGGAGGTGAATTGGCGCATGCTGCTCGTCATCATCGTCGTCATTGTCATCATTCTTCACATCACCACCATCGCCAGCTGTGGTTGTATGCGTAAGGTCGCGCGTGTGTGCCGTGAGCGATGTGTTGCGAGACGATGAAGACGACGAGGATGACGAGGATGACGATGTGGATGATTTGTCCGCGTCCGAATGGCTCATATTTCCTGCGGACACATGTGCGTGCGTATCGCCATTGATGTGCTCAGTGCAGTGCTGTTGCTGCGATGGTTGCGCTGTTGATATTGCGGAGGATAGAGCCGGATCGCCGCTCACGTCCATGATGACGTCATCACCATCGTCGTCGTCATCGTCATCATCTTCATCGTCAGTATCCACTGTGCATGTGCGCGTGAGTGTGTGTTGTGTACAGAGCATCAACACGAACACATGCGTGAGTGAACGCATGCCAATGTTTCAACGAACACAAGGCCAGTGAAGACAAGACACAACACCACAGCAGCAACGCATGCATGTGCTGAAGGAGCAGGAGCAGAAACAGCCGCCGCCGCACCTAAGGCGCCGAGTTTGTAGAGCTGGTCTGTGAGTGCAGAATCGAACGCCATTGCGTCTTCAGCGACGTCGCACAGCATCCCTTCGCGCGCCACCGGTCCGGATGGTGGCAGTGGTGATGAGGATGACGACAACGATTGGACGAGAGCCTGGGCGAGTGGTTGGCGGATGAACGCGCGCGGGTGGCAGTGAGTGGGTGAGTGAGTGAGTGAGTGAGTGAGTGAGTGAGTGAGTGAGTGAGTGGGTGAGTGAGTGAGTGGGTGAGTGAGTGAGTGAGTGAGTGAGTGAGTGAGTGAGTGAGTGAGTGAGTGAGTGAGTGAGTGAGTGAGTGAGTGAGTGTGTGAGTGAGTGAGTGAGTGAGTGAGTGAGTGAGTGAGTGAGTGAGTGAGTGAGTGAGTGTGTGAGTGAGTGAGTGAGTGAGTGAGTGAGTGAGTGCGTGCAAAGTTGTGATTGCGTACTGTGGTGCACGTGTGTCGTGGTGGGAGTGCACTCACCTCTTCATTGAAGACGCATGGCTGTGACTTTTTCGACTGGTCCGGCACCAGCGTCTGGTGATAGAAAGACATTGTCCAATGTGTGCACGTGCGCGTGCATGTGTACACGTGTGCCAATATGCATGCACGCGTATGGTAAGACACAAGAAGAGTGCAGGTGCGAGTGAGTTACAGAGAGTCACATGTATGTTTGAGCGAACATGAATGTGTGGGAGCGTTTAGGTGCATGGGAAAATGCGTACATGTGTAAAACGTGCACGTGTACAAATGTGTGTGTGTGTGTGTGTGTGTGTGTGTGTGTGTGTGTGTGTGTGTGTGTGTGTGTGTGTGTGTGTGCGCGCGCGCGCGCTCGTACCCCGAGGAGGCGGAGGGCGAGCGTGGACGGCTGAATGGAGTTGATGTGCACGCGACGATGCGCGATGGACTGATGAACAGACACACACACAAGTACTTGCGATGGTGAGTACATGCCACAGGTCTGACGGGAAAATTACGAGTGGCGTGAAGCTGTTCATTGCAGCACACAGACACGCAGACACACAGACACACAGACACACACACAGACACACACACACATCTACATGCACGAACCGGCACATTGCGGGGAAGGTTGCTTGGTCGCGCTTGCCGCCCCTCGGGTGACGGCAGCTCGCTAAACATGATTGGCATGATTGGTGGGGGGGGGTGGGGGGGGGGATGATGGTGATGAGGCGAGGAAGAAGGAAGTGGATCTCTGTGTTCAAACGAACACCTGAAGGTGGAGGGGGGGGGGGCAACATGCACAAACATGCCTACAAGCGTGCACACACACACACAGACACCGACACACACACAGACACACAGACACACAGACACACAGACACACAGACACACAGACACACACACACGCATGCGTGAGGGAACTCACAAGTACTTGTCTGCGTCCGCGCAGGCCTCGTCGCTCAGGGCGCGAAGAGCAGCAATGTCAGCCGTTGTCGGCACTAAATCCACACATGCGCACGTGTGTGAAAGGAAGAGGAGAGAGGTCAGGGAACACCAGCGGGTTTCGTGCGTGCGTGTGTGCGTGTACATGCGTGTGTGTGTGCGTGCGAGTGTGTGTGTGTGTGTGTCCGCACCTGCAAAGTACTCTGCGACTTCTTGCCAGAACGGGTGCTCCGGCAGCTTGGGCCTAAGCCAACAAACACACAAATACACAGACACAGACACACACAGACGCACAGACGCACAGACACACACACACACACACAGACACAGACACAGACACAGACGCACAAACACACGAACCACGGAAATATCAAGGTGAGAAGACATCGCACTGTGCAAACGCAACCAGAAAGCAGCACACGAAAACGATGATAGTGCCAGCGCTGTTCACAACAATGAGACTGCGTTCAACACTGTGGTTGCACACTGTCCAGACAGTGCTATGACCATGATGATGCCGGGGTGACACGCGTACCGCTGTGCTCGTTCAGCCGCCTCCGCTGCCTTGGTCTGCGTCAGCGCCTTGCCAGACTTTGAGTTGCGCTTCTGGCCCGATATGACCTTTGCACGCTTGCTCTGTTGGTCGTGCAGGTTGAGGGGCGTGCAAGCATGAGTGATTGCGAGAATGGACTGATGACAGCAGGCACACGCACAGACGTTAACATACGCACACACGCATGCACACATATGCACGCACGTTCTTCGATGGGCTGGCGTGTGCTGCTGAATTGGTGCTTGTCCGCCGCTACACATCAAACATCAAGCAAGGGTCAGGGAGCGTGAGATCCGCAAGTCACCTCCCTGTGACTGTGATTCGTGCATGTACATTCACAAACAAACAAACAAATACACACACACACACACATACACACATGGGCGTACAACCCCACCTTTCCGCTGGCGGCTTTGGAGGATGCCTTCTTTGAGGACGACTTTGATTTGGATGCCTTTGGTTTTGCGGCCTGATACTCTGGTGCTTTCTTGTGCACAACTTTCTTCATACGCATCTTCGCTTCGTTCATCAGGTTGGAGTACACATTGTGCAGCTCATCGTGGACCACCCTTGCATTACAATCATGCATGTGTGTGTGCGTGTGTGGATGCGTGTGAGTGCGTGTGCGTGTGTGAATGCGTGTGAGTGCGTGTGCACGTGTGAATGCGTGGAATATGTGAGCAAGTGTGCGGTAAGCGACAAAGGTGCAACGGATGCACTCGATTTCCAAGCATCATATTTCCAGTTGCGTGCGTCTGGTGGCTCTACTCACCCCATGAACTTGTCGTAGTCCTGGGCTGCCCGTACTTGCTTTTGTTGCAGCGGGATGAGTGCTTGCTCCAAGTATTTCTGCGTGTGATGAGCAGCGCAACAGCAGCAGCAGCAGCAACAGCAGCAACAGCAGCAACATCAGCACACTGTGAACGCTCGCCTTGATTGATGGAGGTGTCCGCGGCGGGTGCAAGCGCACATGACTCAATCGCTGCAAGGTTGCACCCTGCGAGCGAGCCACGCCATAAAAGAGGCAAGGGCAACCACCAACACACGCACCTTTATTCCTTCCAGCTCTTGAACGCTCGTCTTCATAAGCCGTTCAGCATCGTACTCTCCGCTTGTTAGTGCGCGGTCCATGTCTGCCCGTGCGTGTCTGTCCGTGTGTGTGAGTGTGTGGTTGTGTATGGGTGTTGTGTGGTGGCTGTTGATGGCGCTTGGCGGATGTGTTTGCGGAAATTTATCAGATATAGTTAACAAAAGTCGGCGGAAGGACAACAGCCGCGAATGAACAATCATGCATGGATGGTGAACAATCATGCGTGTTTGCATTGCGCCAGCTGTTGCACGCCGCCGCAGCAGCAGCAGTGGTGGTGTCAAGTGCTGTGCGCAGTGTTAAACAAGCAGTCTCGAACAGTCACATCACTTCAAGCGAGCCGTCAAGCAGGCAAGTTGAAGGGGGACGGGGAGAAAAAAAGAAGAAGAAGTAACCAATCCTTGGCATCTGGCCTCTCACGTCGTGCAACACACACAGAAGGGTAAACACACATACAGATACAGACAGACAGACAGACAGACAGACAGACAGACAGACAGACAGACAGACAGACAGACAGACAGACGCACACACACACATACAGAAACAGACAGACACACACATACAGAAACAGACACACACACACACACACACACACACACACACAGAACGACGTGTTAGCTGCCGTTGAGGAGAGAGACGGCAATGCCGATAACGGAGCCAACCTGCAGGCCAAGCCAGATGAGCTGGCCAACCGTGCTGCAGGCAAGCACGTGCGACTTGCGACACGACTCCTGCGCGTATCTGCTCAGCGCAACAATGCCCGCGCCGGAGAGCACCGCGCCCAGCGCATACCACGTGACAATGATGGCGTTGTTCTTGTCCCACGACGTGATAAAGTAGAAGCACGTGTGCTGGCATTGCACATATGCCACGACGCCCGCAAGAAACACAATCTGCGACAGCACCAGCAGCACCAGCGTTGCCGGCGCACGGAACATGCGGTTCAGCCACTTGACGCCAGACGTCTGCTCCGGTATCGCCCTGCGTGTTGTTGTTGTTGTTGTTGTTGTTGTTGTTGTTGTTGTTGTTGTTGTTGTTGTTGTTGTTGTTGTTGTTGGTGTGTGGTGAGTGAATTGAGATGTGTGCGTGAAAGATATTGTCTCTGCTGGCACTCAAGACAGCTGCCTCTATGCTCAGCAAATACTCCACGCCTCACACAGCGTCGCAGCAACACGCACGCGCGCACACACACACACAGCCACAACTCCAACGCAATGCCACACACACGCACAGCCACGACACAGACACACACACATATATGCACCCATCTCCACCTTCCCCTGTTCGGCACCGCGCACCTGCCGATGAAGCTTGAGATGGAGAATGAGATGAGGGCGACAGTGTCCAGGTTGCGCGACCAAAACGCCGTGTCGTCAATGGGCGTGAGGTGCGGGCTTGTGGCGCAGGCAAACGACATCACGGCAGATATGATCACCTCTGCGCCAACCGTGACAATGACGGGCCAGAGGCGGCGCGCAGTAAGGCGCGGCGGCGGCTGCTGCTGCACAGCGCGCTGGGCGGCCGTCTCACACGTGGCGCAGCAGTTGGTAATGCCTTCCTCCTCAGCAGCGCGGAAAATGGCGTGGCGGACAACATACAGCAGAGCTGCCAGGCTCAGCACAAGCATTGCCGCAGCACACGGGAACACAACCTGCACACGTGCAACAGATGACCATTGGGGGGGGGGGAGGTGTAGATGTGAGGTAAAGAGACAACGAGAACAAAGTATGAGTGAGTGTGAGTGTGCGTGTGTGTGTGAGTGTGAGTGAGTGTGAGTGTGCGTGTGTGTGTGTGTGAGAGAGAGTGAGAGAGCATGTGTGAGTGAGAGAGAGTGTGTCTGGTTCTTTGTCTCGCCCACCACCTCTTCCTTCCCATATTCAGTCCTGGTCACCTCGATGGAGAAGAGGGTGATGTTGTAGGACTGTGTGCTCGACTTGGCCTTGAGCATGCGCGGGATGAGGAACAGCTGGATCATTGTCGGCGTGCTAATCCCAAACGCCGCCCCCATCAGCTGGTACGACGTCGTCCCTGTGTGTGTGTGTGTGTGTGTGTGTGTGTGTGTGTGTGTGTGTGTGTGTGTGTGTGTGAGTCAGCATGAATGGCTGGAGCATCACAAAACAGAGTGCAAGTATCAAGGAGCGTGCACGTGCAGCAGCATGGCGCCTCCCTGCACACACACACACACACACACACACACACACACACACACACACACACACACACACACACACCTACCTCGGCAGGACGGGTATCGGGAGAAGAGGGCTGAGCACGCAGCGACAAAGCTCTGGGAGAGGCCCGTGGTGACACCGTTGACCGCCACCAGCACATACAGGACAACAGACGACACCTAGCCACGACAGCGATGTTGGGGAGTGTGAGTGTGCAGCAACTGGTGAACGCACCATGTTTGACTGAGAACAAGGAAAAAAAAGGTGGCGGATGGTGATGTACACATGTACACCGCGAGCACAATCGCATCTTGTGCATCCACTTGTTCACAGATGCAGCCGACAGACGCAGGCACATGGTGAAACAAGAAAGCCAGCACGCGAACCTGCACGCCCTTGAAGACGAGAACGGGGAAGAGGATGCAGAGGGCGAGCATGTACACGTGCGTCACAAAGATGGTGTACAGCGCACCGCGCGCACTGTCCGTTGCCTGCGGCCAGCACACCCTGCACATGTGATTACAGGTGCCATTGTGAGAGAGCAGAGCACAGCGGACGTGAATTGAAGATGATGCAGTCGGTCGTTCAGAGAAACGCAAAATCGCGTCCATGGACGCACGCAAGAACTCACGCCCGACCCACATGGACAAGCAGACAGACACACGCACACAGAGACGTGCACGTACACACGGATACAAAGAGACAGACGTGCACGTACACACATGCACACACACACACACACACACACACAAACACACGCACATGACGATCATGGTGAGTAGCCAGGGGATGTTTTGGGCCAATCCGAGACGGGAGATCACGGCTTTGCCTGGTTATGGACAGCCCAATTGAGAAAAAAAGTGAGCACTGGGCGTGCAGTCAGGGCTCACAGCAACCACGCCGGGAAGTGCGACTGTAGAGTTTGGTGCACTCACCTTCAATTGTCTCAAAGTATGCCACAGACATGTATATTGCGTTCCAGCTGGTCATCACCACATGACGCGTTTATCGTGCGTGGTCGACGAGCAATCGTCGTGTGAGCTGACAGAAAGCAACCTTCCACAGGAGCAAGGTCTTGTGCAAGTACAGGCACAAGCGCAAGTCCGCACAAATGTGTCTGCTCACACGCGAGCACATGCACACAGACGGACACTTATACTCATGTACACACAGAGTCACGTACACAAGTCACACACAAACACAGTCATACTCATGTACACACACACACACACACACAGAGTCACGTACACAGTCATGTGCACAGTCAGACACAGTCACACCCACCTGATGTCGGATGCGGATCCTAAACTGAAGAAGGCCGCCAAGGGCCATTTGGCGGCGGCGCCGGCCGTGGCGGCTGCCTCAATGGATGCCACAGAGGCGCGTGGACGACGACGTTGCCGTTGCGCTTGTGTTTGTCCTTCAACAAGCCATTGGTCCTCATCAGTCTGATTGATGTCCAGGCCCTCCGATGGGAACACGCTGGTGAGGCCATCACCATCATCACGACCAGCATCATCGCCATCGTCATCATCTTCGACACTGGGCACGCCACGCTGGCGCACCTCGACTGTATTGTGCTGTTGATGCTGGCCATAAGGGAGAAGCGGCGTCGTCTCATCATCCGCATCGCCATGCTTGCATGCTTTGCTGGTGCTGGTGCTGGCGCAGCTGCCACCACTGAGACACCCGTGCCGACATCGACGCCCGCCGCCGCCTTTCATGATGATGTGCGATGACGCTGGCTTGTGCTGTCAGGACTGCCATCAACACGCGGGCACACTCTTCTGCCTCGCCTCCTGGCTTCATTCACTCGCAGGGCCACAAACTACGAGACGTCCGTGTCACCACCACGAGGAGCGAAGCAAGCGAGCAAGCCTTTAAGCGGGCGAGGAAGGCAGCGACCTCCAATCAATCCATACACACCAATCAACAATCAACAACAACACAAGCAACGAATGAATGAAATGATGACAACAGACAGCAGAAAGCGCACAAGTTGCTGATCGCTCCTTCCTGTTGTCCTTTGGGCAATTTTGACTTTGCTGCAAGGCAAACTTGCCTTCCATTCACGTGGAAGCAGCAAGCACAGCCAGTAAGCACAACAGCAGCAGCAGCCTCACCCGAGCACCAGCACCAGCAGCACATCATCACAGCAAGAGGAGCATCAGACAAGCACAGCCACCGCAAACAGCCCCAACATCACCAGTGACGATAACGACTACAACACAGCATACGTGTGTGATCCACAGCGATGCAGAGGATAGGGTCATTTGTGAGCCGGCGCATGTGGCAGCCGCTGCGACGGGAGGTGACGGCGATTGCACGCGATTACAAGGACGTGCTGGTGGACATGTGGAAGGATGTTGGTGAGCGGCCCATGTCGGCGGCAATCAAGGCATATGCGGCAGGGGCAGTCGTCTGGGCCAGCAACGTTGCGCCAGATATGCTCGAGTACAGGCAACAACTGGCAGAGGCAAGCAATGACCTCGGGGAAGTGTCCGACTTCATCAGAAGAAAGGCCTCCTTCGAGCATGTTGCCAAGCGCATGGATCTGATCGCAACCGAGCGCCTCGACTACGTCTGGGCCGGCCCAGTCTCCCTGATCCTTGAGCGCGACCACGAGAAACACCTGAAACTCTTCAAAGCGACCAGCACACCCTGGGTGCAGTTCATTGCCTCCTTGCCCAGCAGAGTACTCGATGTTGGTTTCAACCACAGATGGCTCTGGCTCGAAACCGCCATGATCGACTACGACATCCCCGAGGACATGGACGACAAGTAAGCTGGCCCTCAAAAACACACAGCGCTTCTATCAGGATCCTGTAGCCATGGCTTTGTTGCGTGTGGACACACCATCCTTTGTACATATGATGGTGTGCCCGCACTTGCGTGTTTAGACAGCAGCTCCTTCACAGAATGCATTCTGTGGTGTTTGTGTGCATGTGTCTGCGTCTCCCTGTGTGTGTGTGTGTGTGTGTGTGTGTGTGTGTGTGTGTGTGTGTGTGTGTGTGTGTGTGTGTGTGTGTGTGTGTGTGTGTGCGCGTTCGTGTGTTGAACAACACACACAGTGACCGGATGCTTCCACACGGGAAAGACAAGGCAAGGCAAACACGCACACACACACACGCACACACAGAGCCATTAACACACATAATGCCTCACCAGGAGGCCGCGGTTGTGTGCACAGGTGAAGTATCGGCCGTGTGTTGGGTGCGCGCCGTCGCAGTCGCCCGTCGCCTGCACCCAGTGTAGGCAGCAGCAGCAGCAGCAGCGGTGACGTGTGTGAGTGCTCGTGAGTGCTCGTGTGTGTGTTCGTGTGTGTGTGTGTGTGTGTATGTGTGTGTGTGTACGTGTGTACGTGTGCACTCTCCCTCTCCCTCTCCCTCTCCCTCTCCCTCTGCCTCTCTGTCGGCAATACCTCGTTGAGCTCAACGCCGATGAGCTTCACACCGCCATCAACGCGACTCCGCCCGTAAAATCTGGCGCCACACACGCACAACAGCGGAGACGAGGAAGCAGCGATATGAGACGTGGCGCGATGATGGTCATCATCGGCGCAACAGCAGCAGCAGCAGCAGCAACAACAACAACAACAACAACAACAAACACAGCAGCAGCAACAGCAGCAGCAGCAACAACAACAAACACAGCAGCAGCAACAGCAACGACAAACACAGCAACAACAAACGCAGCAGAGCAACAACAAACACGAAAAAGGCCGGTTACAAGTCAAAGCAAATCGAAGCATGAAGCAACCAACACCAACCAAGCCAGACCAAGCAACCAAGCAGCCAAACAATACACCACGTGCCGACCTGAGGGTGCCGAGGCCGTGGCCCGCGACAAAGACGGTGTGTCCCGGCTGCAGCGCGCTCATCTTCACAGACGCCGTCCGGCCACTGTTGCCACTTTCAAACGCACTGCTCGCGTCCACACGCGCGCGCCCGCGTGCACGACCATCCCTGTACACACCATCACTGCTGCGTGGGCGGTCCCCGCTTTCGCCAACACCACGTGCACTGGCGCCACCGCACGTGTGGTCACCACCACCACCACTCCCGATGATGTTGCTGTCTTGGTCGTTGGGGTTTCCGCGAGGTGTGGCGCGTGCAGCCGCTGCTGTGGCCGCTGTCGCGCTGTGTGTATTGGTGGTTCGCTTCGGCGACACAAAGATGATTTCGCGTGCCGTTTTCCTCTCCTCATGTTGTGGTTGTTGTTGTTGTTGTTGTTGTTGTTGTTGTTGTTGTTGTTGTTGTTGTTGTTGTTGTTGTTGTTGTTGTTGTTGTTGTTGTTGTTGTTGTTGTTCCAAATCTCACCTCGCCCTTCTTGATAGCACTGCTGGCGGTCGACGGCGGTGGCCTGTCGCTGTCTCGCGCACACTGCTGGCGGTCGACGGCGGTGGCCTGTCGCTGTCTCGCGCACGTGAGACTCCATCGCCGCCCTGCCCGCAGCAGACAAAGTACATGCCGGCTGTCTGTTTTGCCTTGCGTCTTCGGCGTGGCAGCGGCTGCGACGGCGTCATTCCCTTGCGTCTTCGGCGTGGCAGCGGCTGCGACGGCGTCATTCCACGCTGCACCGCAGTTGCCAGCACATCCACGTCCCGCGTCAACAGCTGCGCTGCCACGCGCTTCCGCTCCTCGGCAACTTCGTTGTTGTCGTCGCCGCCGTCTGCTTGCTCGCCGTTGGGGGACCGCTGGTCGCGCAGGTATCCTTTGCTTCGCAGCGCATCCAAGATGACCCGGCACGCCTTGACCAGCTCGTTGGACAGGTAGCTTGACGCATAGAAGCTCTCGCACTGGCACAAACAACAAAAAAGAGCAAAGCGCGATGCAGACGGCAGTTACATCAATGTGTGTATGTGTATGTGCACGTGTGTGTGTGAATATGTGTTTGTGCTTGCGTTTGCATGTGTGGCGAGACAGCGAGGCGAGGACTTCTTGTCACAACACGCGTGCCCAAACAGCCACGGCCACAGCCACAGCCACGGACACGGCCACATAGACTCACCAGCATGGACACACGCAAAGACACACATATATACACACACATGCACAATACCTCGAAGATGTGGGCGGTGCAGGTGATGTTGTCGGCATCGAGAGAGGCGACAATGTAGCACACCATGGGTCCATAGTCTGCCACGGCTGCAATTTGCGCCAGTTGGTGTGTGAGCCCCTGTCTCCCTTCATCGCGCACGGGCCATGCAAATGCGCGACCACGACGACATGACACCTGGAACAGCAGCCATTTCGCACAGCCGTGCCTGAACTTTTCCTTGCTGCGATACGCCAAAATGTTGCGAATCGATGACACGCATGTGGCGCTGGTTGGCGGGTTGGATACGCTCAGGTTTGGCAGCGGCAAGCGACCGTGGTACTTGACAGTGTGCAGCTCCGAATCTGGAATCAGCTCCTCTGGCGACAACACAATCTCCCTCACACCCCTTGCCCCCTGCTCACGCTGTTGTTGTCCTTGTTGCTCTTGTTGTTGTTGCTCTTGTTGTTGTTGTTGTTCTTCTTCTTCCTGTTGTTGTTGCTGCTGCTGTTGTTGTTGTTGTGCCGGTGAGATGGCAGGGGATTGTTGCCCGGCTGCGCCACGTGCCACGCGCTGCTCATCCTGTGCTTGCGCAGCCTGTGGCGCTGCTTCTTGTTGTTGTCGTGGTGGGTGTGGGTGTGCACCCACATCCACACCTTGCGCATCCATCGTTTCGTCCTCCCTCGACCAGTTGGAAAATTCATAAAGATCATAAACAATCGTCACAACTCGCGTTGGGATGATGGAGGCTGCGGCAAAGACCATCTTCAGTGCAGGGCTGGAAGCAGTCAAGCCAGGCAACCTCCTGCACCACGCCCTTGAGCTCCAGGTGCCGATGATCATGCGTATCATGCGTGTCATGCATATGTGTACATGTGATTGGATGAGCTGTTGTTGACTTGTTTGTCTCTGTGGCACGCAGCGCTGCTGAATGCACGGCACTGTGCATGCAGCCCTGAGCGATCGTGCAAACGCACATGTGTTCACATCCGAGTGCACTGTCACATGCAGAAGTGCGCTGGGGAGGATGGGGAGACCGTGTTGGATTTGGTAACGGCTGTGCCTTCTATAGACGGTGCGCCAGCCCACCTTCGCATCAACCCAAGGAGAACGCTGTGGCTGCTCGGGTTTGGCAAAGCTGTCTTGCCAATGGCAACGCACCTCCACGCGTTGCTTTGCACCGAAATACCCAACATCAAAGGTGTGCACGCATGTGTTTGTGTGAGTGAGTGAGTGAGCGTGCGTATGCGTATGTGTCCGTGTGCATATGTGTTTGTTTGAGTGAGTGAGTGAGTGAGTGAGTGAGTGAGTGTGCGCATGCGTATGTGTGCGTATGCGTATGTGTGCGTGTGCGTGTGTGCGTATGTGTGCGTGTGCATGTGTGTTTGTTTGTTTGAGTGAGTGAGTGAGTGTGCTTGTGTTGTGTCAGGTGGTGGATATGAGTGCCTGAAAACCGTGAGGCAGAGGGGGTGCGTGAAATTACACTCTGACGACCGCCTTTCACCCATCGCCTCTTCTCCGTGTGAAGGTCATTTGAATGTGCCAGCTGGCACTGCCATCCCAGCTGACATGGACAACGTGCAAATTGTGGCCTGTGGTGCCAACAACTTGCCTGATGATGGATCCGTCGCAGCGACAGACCAGCTACTGCAAACCATGCACGCCATTCATCCTGTATGTTCAACTATGCAGCGTGTGATGTATGTTAGTCGCCCTCTTCTGGTCGCTGCACGCGCACACATGATGAAAGCACAGCCCTGGTACACCTGTGACAGAAAGCATCAGCGACTCACGATTGCGTGTTGTGCTGTGCTGTGCTGTGTTGTGCCTCGTGTTCTTGTTCTCTTTCTCGTTACTGTCGTCGTTCCCCACCCCCTGTGCAAAGGAAGACGCGGTAGTTCTGCTCATCTCTGGTGGCGGCTCTGCGCTGCTGGTTCGCCCGTCCACGGGCATCACTCTCCCAGACTACGCCGCCACCGTCAAGGCCCTCGCCAACAACGGCGCAGATATCCACGTGAGTCTTTGAGTTAGTTTGAGAGAGAGAGAGAGACAGTATGTGTGCGAGTGTCAAAATTTTAGTGAGTGAGTGAGATTGTGAGTGAGTGGGACGCAGCTCCATTGACTGTCAATTCACACCTGCTTGTGGGTTGTGCCCACGCACATTTCATGCAGGAGCTCAACTGCGTTCGCAAGCACATGTCAGATGTCAAGGTACACACACACACACACACACACACACACACACACACACACACACACACACACACACACACACACACATACACACATTTGCTTGGCTCTGCTATCCAGTCGTGATTCCCGCACAATGGCCATCACAGCTTTGTTCCTGCCGTGTTCCTGCCGTGTTCCTGCCGCGCACCTCACATTCCCCACCCACCTCTGTCTCCCTTCTTCAACTGTCCACGCAGGGCGGCCGGCTTGCACGTGCTCTGCCAACGGGGTCGCGTGTGCTGGCGCTCGTTGTCTCCGATGTCGTTGGTGATGACCTCAGCACCATCGCCTGCGGCCCAACCGTCCCAGATGGTGCAATATGAGTGCATATTGTGTGTGTGTGTGTTGTGTGTATGTTGTGTGTATGTTGTGTGTGTTGTGTGTGTGTGTTGTGTGTGTGTTGTGTACTTGTACGTGTCATGGTGAGTGTACCTTCTTGCTGCGGCCGCGTGTAATGGTGTGTGTGTGCCCGTTGTGCTGCTACTGCTGCTGTTGTTGTGTATGTATCATGCTCGCTCATGAACGAAGCCGTGTGCATGCTCTCCACCATGTCCAACACAGACACGACCTTTGCTGACGCGTGGGCAGTCATCGAACGATTTCAACTCCAAGAATTGCTCCCTGTATCTGTCGTTGCACACATGCGCAAAGGTCCGGGACAAACCAGCGCTCTTCTTGCATGCGCGTGTTGTGTATGGCAGCTGCGTGTGTGGAGCTCTGTGTGCGTGCATGCGTGTGTGTGTGTGTGTGTGTATGTGTGTGTGTGTGTGAATGCCGCTCCACAACACCGCCGCCACTCCATGACTCCACCACCACCGTCACCGCTGCAGGCCTGTGTGGGGAGGAGCCCGACAGCCCCGGCAGCGACGACGCGTGCTTCCGTAGCCGCTGCATTGCACACGTTCTCATCGGCACAAACGCGACTGCACTTGACGCCTGCCAGCACACCGGTACGTGCCATGTTGTCCGTGTGTGTCTATGTCTGTGCGTGTGTGTGTGTGTGTGTGTCGGGTGTGTGTGTGCGTGTGTCGGGTGTGTGCGGGTGTGTGTCGGTGTGTGTGTGTGTGTTTGTCTATACATCTGTCTGCGTTCCTCATGTCCAACCTGATCCGTCAACACTTATCCCCTCCCCCCCCCCACACACACATGTTTTGTTGCGTGCAGCGGAGAAGTTTGAGCAGTATGCCGTGATCCGCTTGCCCGCGCCAATCACGGGTTTCGTGAGCGATGTCGCACAGCATCTCGTGTCGCAAATCCCTTCTTGGACACAGCGGTGCGTTGCTTGCAGGCACACACACATGCATAGGTTTGCGCACACAAACACGTTTTACACACGAATACATGCTCGCACACATTACCGTCATGCACCCACCACCACGACCGAGACACTCAACTCACTTCCCTTCTTGTGTTCCCCACCACAACAACCCCCCGTCCACCACGCTATCACATCATGACGATGCACTGTGTCGCTCGTGTAGCACCAAGTACGCGTGTGTGCTCGCTGGCGGCGAGACTGTCGTGAAAGTTAACGGCGCCGGACGCGGCGGTCGCAACCAGGTGCACTTGCATATGTGCTTCTGCGTTTATGCGTGCACGTGTGTGTGTGTGTGTGTGTGTGTGTGTGTGTGTGTGTGTGTGTGTGTGTGTGTGTGTGTGTGTGTGTGTGTGTGTGTGTGTGTGTGTGTGTGTGTGTGTGTGTGTGTGTGTGTGCGTCGGTTTCCTTGTGGGTGTCTTGGACACTCATGAACATTGGGTGTGGCTGCATCTCACCACAATGTCTGCCATCCCCCTTTCCCTCCCCGTCAACAGGAGCTGGCAATGCACGTCGCACGCCACCTCCACCTGCAGAACACATCATCACCATCATCGTCGTCGTCATCGTCGCCTCGTGTCGTGTTCCTGAGCGGAGGGACAGATGGGCAGGACGGACCAACGCCAGCAGCCGGCGCCGTCGCAGACACACACTCGTGGGAAGGGGGGCAAGCGCAGGGGCTTGAGCCAGACAAACTGTTGCAGAACAACGACTCGCACGCGTTCTGGTCGCAGCTTGACCAGGGGCAGCACTTGCTCACACCGGGACTGACAGGGACCAACGTCATGGACATAATCGTGTTGATCGTCGCACCACAGGAGTGCACGCGCGACACCTGACGCGCTGACACCTGACATGCCATGTTTGTAGGAGGTGGTTAGAACAGGTCGGCTGTGGCTGCGGTGGTGATGGTGTGACGGCCGACGCATACATGGAAGACATTCCCTTCATTGCACCGCTCCCTGTTGGCACCCTCCTCTCTCACACACTGTTTGTAACACACAGGGGCACTTGGGGATGCATGATTGCGACGGTTGAGATTGAGGTTTCGGCGAAATTTTTAAACAAACCAACAGCAGCAGTGGCTGGTGGTTCGGGCATTCGTACATGCATGGGATGAAACACAAAACAAAGAAAGCAAGCGAGCAGAAGGTTACTTTAAACCATAGATCATTCATCCCACACACAGGTACACAAAACAACACACGCACACACAACATCACGCAAGCACAAACACACAATTCAAACACAACAACAACAACAACAACAACACACACACACACACACACACACACACACACACACAACAGCCATGCGGCGACTACTGCGCTGCATCGGGTGCACCGTTGTGCTGGTCCTTGCTGAGCGGCTGGAGGCGAATCGACGTCACCTTGCGCGGCCCCGTCCCCATTCGCCGTGGTCGCCGCTTTCCTCCGCCACCAGCACCAGCGGATCCCGCACTCCGCACACGCACCGTCGTCGACGCTGCCGATGATGACGCTGCTGATGATGCGATTGAGGAGGATGTTGTGGGCCGCGAGAGAGTTGCGCTGGACGCACGTGCGCGGTCGCCAATCGCCGATGACTGTGCACGCGTGTGCTGTCCTCCTTCCTGCTGCTGCTGCTGCTGCTGCTGCGTTTGGTCTGAGGATGGCGCGGAGGACGGAATGTCCGGTAGCACGGGCTTCTTCGTGAGTTGCACACGTGCATGGGACGCACGCATCGCAACGGCACCGTCCCCAGATTGTTGTTGTTGTTGTTGTTGTTGTTGTTGCTGCTGCTGCTGCTGCTGCTGCTGCTGCTGTTGTTGTTGTTGGTGCGGTGGCTGGTGTGGTTCCATCTTCGTGCTCTCACGTTCCTTGTGTGTGGTTGCGCCTGCTTGCGTGTCTTCCAACACGCTGTCGCCAACAGCACCGGCTGCTTCCTCTCCGTGCCCCACCGCCACCTGTTCCTTCCCACCACTGCCAGCACCACCGCCATCGTCATTTCCCCGACGTCTGCGTGCACCGAGCGCGTACTTGTTCTTCCCACCGCCACCGCCACCGCCCTCCTTCGCCACCCGCGCCCGCGCCTGTTGCGTCGTCGTCGCCACAATCCCACGAATGGCAGCCGCCGCATCACCATCACCACCATCGCCACCATCGCCACCATCACCATCACCAGTGTTTGTTGGGGTTGATGGGCTGTGTCCGCCTTCAGCCGCGTGTGCGCGCGCAGCGAGTGCATTGCGTGCGGCTGTGCCCTGCTGCAGAAACGCGTGTGTCTGCGATGGGTTCAAGTCGCCACCAGCGGTTGCCGGGCGGGTTGTGTCGGACGAGACGGCCTTCGTCAGCGCCACCTGTTCCTGCCGCAGCCCTTCAATCTCCCCAACTCGCTCCTCAAAGTCTTGCCACAGCTGCACTCACACAGGTGATGTGTGTTTGTGTGTGAACGAGTGAGTGGATGCACGTGCGTGGATATCAACGCGAGCGCGTGCACATATGCGCATACGTGTGCGTGTGAGTTTCTGACAACACTTGTTGCGAACGAGTTCAAATTATCCACAACCCCCCCCCCCCCCCGCACGCTTGGACAACCAGGACAGATGGCCATCAGCCACCATGCTCACCTGCTGCTGTCGTGCACGCGAGCGCGACGCAATCTCTTGTCGCATTTCGTGCAGCGGTTTCAGCGCCGCGTCGTCTGCCACACGTGAGCGCCCCAGACACACACACGCAAGTACATGTGAGCACATGAACACACGCACGCACACATGAGCGCCCCAGGCACACACACGCAAGTACATGTGAGCACATGAACACACGCACGCACACGCAAACACTTTGAAGGGGCAAGCATTGACAACTTTACATGCACGGTTGCATGGTTGCTTGCATACAGAAAAAGTGCGTTGACGTACAGATTTGCTGCGTTGCTGTCGCCGTAGAATCAAGAGCAGCACGCACAACGGAGTCGAGCGTCACACCGTCAACATCAATGTCATCATCATCATCATCATCATCGTCATCATCATTGTTGGCAGAACCACCACGACCACCAGCACGGGCGCGGCCAGCTGATGCTTGTCTTGCATTGTCGCCGTGTGCGCTGTTTCCGCTCGGCTTGCGTGCACGCCTAGCCTGGTTCCGCGCCGTGGCTGTCGTCTTTGTGAGATCTTTCTTCTTCTCCTCAACAAGCGACGCTAGCCGCTTCAAGCGGCGCTGTGCGTATGCGTGCGAGCCCTGCTTTGGCAGGGATGGCTTGGTCGGCACCTTTCCCGCTGCTGTTGATGAGGACGACGAGGGCGACGATGATGACACAGCAGGCGCTGGTGCTGGTGCTGGTGCTGGTGCTGAGGTTGTTGTATCGGTGGCAGTTACATGAGTAGCATCACCAGGGGTCATGGTGTCTTCTGCCGCCTGTGCTGTCTCATCAGATGGTGACGACGCAGACGGTGTCACTGGTGCCGTTGTTGTTGAGGAGGAGGATGGTGCGGTTGCCAAGGGCTCCTCGTCCAGGAGCTTCAAGTGCGGATACATGCGCGCCACGCTCGCCCTGTTGCGCACGGGTGCGGTTGGTGGGTGAGTCGGCAAGGAGTGGCACTGGTGGTAGCAGCTCGCCTTCACCATAATCACGCACACTGAAGCCTAGACAACCGCACAAGAAGTGCACGTGCACCTGCACGTGCACGCATCGTACGAGTGAATGCACACACATACACACACATACACACAATCACACACACACACACACACACACACACAAACACACACACACAGTCACACACACACACACACAGTCACACACACACACACACACACGGAGTCACACAGAGGTGCATGAAGCTGACCTATACTGTGGATTGAGGGAGCATGGGTTGCCTTCAAGTTGGAGGATGGAAAGGCTTGAGGGCAGCAAGTCAGGCTGAGGCGGAAGCGTGCGCAGGTCGTTGAACCGCAGGTCCAGCAGTTTCAAGTTGCGCAAGTGGCTGGCAATGAGCAAAAGCAGGCAATTGGAGTTACAAGATCGTTCGTAAGCCCGCATGCAGTCGCTGCTGCTGCTGCTGCTGCTGCTGCTGCTGCTGGCACTGGTGTGGATCATGGGTTGAGGCATGCAAACACAAGAACTTTGCACACACACGCGCGCACTCACACACTCACACACACACGCACACAAAACAAGCACGCACATACACATATACACACACGCACACACACACATCCACACACATACAAGTCAGCCATCACGACACCTGATGTCTGTCCATGTGTCGATGGAGTTGTGAGAAACGACCAGGGATTTGAGGGAGAGCAAGCAATCGAGGTTCTCCAGACGCGTGATGTGGTTGTTGTGCAGATACAGGCTGGTGACGTTTGGGCCAAGGCATTCCAGGTTGTCAATCTTGGCGATGCCTTCGTTGTCAAGGCGAATGCGCGTGAGACCAAGCAGCTCCTCTGCCGTCTCGTCCAACGGCCTTGGGTGCTGTGCTGCGGTCTGCTTGGGCAGGTTCCTGTCCACAATCATTTTGAAGGTTATGGTGCCGGCATTGGCTGGCTGTCTGGAGCTCAGGTACTGCTCCCATTCTGCGTCTGCTTCGTCCTGCTCTGCCAACAGCGCGTCGATGTCCAGCTCCTTGTCATCTGCAAACGCATGCTCACCAGACCTGCTGCTGTCATCGTCCTCATCCTTATCATCTTCAGCATCATCGTTATCTTCATCATCATCTTCATCATAATCATCCTCATCATCATCATCATCGACGTCCTCATCTTCGTCATCCTTATCTTCATCGTCTTCGTCATCTTCTTCATGGGTTACATCATCAACAGCTTCCTCGCCAGCACCATCATCGTTGTCTCTTGTCTCCTCGCCCTGAGCAGCACCCTGCGCCACTGTGTCGAGCGTCTCCTCCTCTTGATGATACTCTGGGTGTGGATGCGAGCCCATCATGGTGGTTGTTGATGTGTGAGACGACAGAGAAGTGCAACCGTCAACAGCTACAAACAGCAAAAAGAGTAGTGCGCACAGTCATCACACAGCAACAACAAGAAGCAAACCGCGATGTTGTGGAGGACAGCGAGAGCTCTTGCGCGGAGTGGCGTGCAGAGTGGTGGTGGTGGTGGTGGTGGTGGTGGCAGTGGTGGTGTCGTTGGACCAAAGCGGAGAAAGATGTGGCTACCTTCATTGAACGAGGAGGTGGGAGGGTGTCGACTGCAGTTGCGAGCTCAGAGTACTTCCACGACTGCGACGACAGCGACGACGGCGAGGACTGCGGCTGCTGCGTCAACGTCGGCGTTCTACCAGAAATGGTTTCAGGACTTGAGGGAAGAAGGTGCACAGCTCATTGCCGCGCTTCGGCACGGACACAACAGCAGTGATGGCACTACATTGAGTGTTGATGGTGGTCTGGGTGCTGGTGATGGCGGTGTTGCGGTGGATGGGCAAAGGTCGCCGTTTCAGGCAAAGATGGACGCCATCAAGCGGTTCTACGTCACGCTCATGGGCATGAAGGAGGTGACGACGGCGAGAACAGAGGTTGAGGCGTATCGTCAGCTTCTCCTGCACAAGGATGCTGAGCTCAAACAAGTACGGTAATGGCAATTATATGCGTGTGCGTGTTGAAGGTTTTTGTGCGTGTTGTATGCTTTTTGTGGGTGTCTGTGTGCTTGTGTGGGTGTGTGCATTTGTCCTTGTGATTGTTGCTGCACGCGCATGCGCTGACTCATGTTTCCTCATACACTGACTGCGGTTTGGCACTGGCAGAGGCAGCAACAGTACCAGGCTGCAGAGCAGGAAGTTTTGAAGCAGGAACACCTCTGGAAACAAATTGAAGAAGACATTGAAAACCAAGACTGGTGCGTGCGTGCGTGCGTGTATGTGTATTTGTGCGTGTTTGTGTGCGTGTATGTGTATGTTGCTTGATTCTGTGGTACTTGTGGTTTTGGTCTGACACTTGTGATTGGCTTGATAGGTTGACGTTTGCGCAGCGCCAGCAGCAGAAGATGCGGGCGAGGAAGGAATGGGAACAGGACCACCAGCACGTTGTCAATGATGCCATTGCCAAGGAGGACGACATGAACACATGCCAGCAGCAGGTAGTGTGTGTGTGCGTGCGTGCGTGTGTGTGTGTGTGTGTGTGTGTGTGTGAAGAGTGAGGGTTTTGCTGCGGGTTGTGCTGCAGGCTTCCCATCACTGTTAGCAACTCATCGCAATCACACGTGCACGTGCGTGTGTGTGTGTGTGTGTGTTGCTTTGTAGAGGGAAGATGCATTGAGCAAATACATCGACGCGCTATGGAGGTGCCAGCATGCTGAGGAGCAGCAGTTTGAGGCCGACCGCAACATCCGCTACTACACCTTCCTCCTCTCCCTCGTTGCCATCATCCCCATCCTCGTCTTCGCGTACGTGCATGTTTTCGTGTGCCTGAGGTTGCTTTGCTGCCCGTGTGCTCCAACCATTCTCCGGCCCACACTTCCACAAACCCTTCCTAGCCGTCTTACGTGTTCACTCTCTTCCGCTTTCTCCGCGTCTCCCACGCCACCTCTTCTCCACGTTCCTAACCTCTCCCCCATCTCCACTTCACTCCCCCCACTTCACTCCCCCCACATCCCATCATCCCCAGGTATTCGCGGCGGTGGATGGTTGCGCGCTCCATTCGCGAGACGCTGTCGCCGTTCCTGCAGGACCTGAACCAAACGCTCGAATTGGAGCAACCAAGTGCCGGTAGGGGCGATGTTCATGACGAGGACACCACGGCCACAGCCGTCGCTTCGTATCAGAACACCATCAAGGTGCTGTGCTGAGGGATTGTTGGTCGGCTGTTTGGAGCTGGGCATGTGCTTGGCTGCATGCGTACGCGAGTGCCATCATATGGCTTGGTCAAAGGTCTGCCAGCATGCACGCTAGCACGTTCGTGTTGCGCTCACCTTCAATCGTGTGTGTGTGTGTGTGTGTGTGTGTGTGTGTGTGTATGTGTGTATGTGTGTGTTTGCTTGAAGGCACTGGAGGCTGAGATTGCTGCCCTCAAGTCGACGGGCGGTGGTGAAGGACAGCAGGTGATGGCGACTGCGCTGCAGCATGACGCAAGTGCCCTCTATCGCGACGTGGACAAACTGGCCAGCATGATGGAGGAGGACCGGGCCACCATTGACACATACACGCGCGGCACGCGCAACGCCGTCATCACCGCTGCCGTCGTCAGCAGCGCGGCCTTCCTCTACGCGCTCGGGTCGCGTGGGGGCTGAAGGAAATGGGAGTGGTTGCTAACTTGGTGGCTGTTGCTGTTGATGTTGTTTGAAGTTGTTGGTTTGGGTTGTTTGAAGTTGTTATTGTTGTTGTGATGGCGGCGGTGGTGGTCGCGGTATGATTGCCATGCTGGGTGTTACGCACGAGGACTGTGGTGGTTCTCATAGACTGCAGGCATCTTGTGTTTGAAACCATGTAATAGACACATCGCATATGATATGGCACTGTAGCAGACAGTCATGTTTGTTAACACACGCAAGGAGAGGCTGAAGTGGAGCGAAGACGGTACGTCGCGCGTATGTGAAGGCGCGCGTGCACGTGAACAAAAGTGCAAAATTAGACACACACGCACACACAAACAAACAAACACACACACACACACACACAAACAAACAAACAAACAAACAAACAAACAAACACACACACACAAACAAACAAACAAACACACACACAAACAAACAAACAAACAAACAAACAAACACACACGCACAAGTGGGCATCAGCTTGTGGCGCGGATGAAGATGGTGAGGACCACTGCAGCTGCCATGCCGCCGACGGCCACCCACGCCGTGGTGTGCTCCGTGTCAAGGGCACTGCGCTGGTGTGCTGCTTCGTCGTGCAGTTGCGCCACGCGCCTTCGCACCGTCTGCAACTGCGCGCGAATGTCCTCGAGTGGCGGTGAGGCCGTGGCCGATGATGTGGCACTTGACTCTCCCTCCTGCTGTGTCTGCTCATGCTCTCGCTGCTGCTGCTGCTGCTGCTGCTGTTGTAATCTCATTGGCGGTTGGTCTTGTGCTTGGGCGTGGGGTTGTTGGTTCGAGGTTGGCGTTGATGCGACGGTTTGCACCTTGTCCTTAAACGGTCTCAGTGTTTCGTGCACAGCCTGCTCCGTATGGCTCCTGAAAGACAGCACCACATCAAGGGTGTCGCGTGCGTGCGTGAGCTACGATGTTGGGAGTGGCAAGTAGCAAGCGTTGGAGTGATTGGAGTGATTGGTTGCATGTGCGTGCACGTGCTTGCGTCTGCACCTGGCACACGGGTATACAGACAACCATAAACCAGCTAAACAGAACACAACAGACACAAAAGGGACAGACGAGCAGACAGGCAGACGAGGTAGGCAAACGAGACGGGCGGGCGCATCCGTCAACATACCCTGTTCGCCACAAGACGAAGATGGGCGTGACGAGGGTGGTGGCAAAAGTGGTGACGGTGATGAAGGACTTCTGCATGCTGTTGAGCTTGGCAAAGGTGGCCTCTGCTTGCTCCACCGCTGACAGGGCAGCCTTGTACTCGTTCAGCCGCATCTCTTGCTGCAGAGACAACATCACACACACACACACACACACACACGTACAAAACCACACACCAACGCCAAGCGATGAGAGAACCGCATGTACGTGTGGGTGTTCATTGTCGCAAACACAGCGTAGTGTCGAGAATGGGGATAGAATGTGGAACCTTTGGTCTGACCTCTCGGCTTGCTTGTGTGTGCTGTTGCTTTGCCTGTTCATACTGCCCTCGAATCGGGCTGTCCTTGAAGTTGGTGTTTGTGTCCACCTCCCGCTGCTTCTCAACCTGTGCCTTGTGCAAGTTCTTTCGCGCCTAAATACAGCCACAACGAGCGAGCAGACGGGGGGAGCGTGAGGTGCATAAATTGCATCCTTGCGCGTCATGTGTGCATGTGTGTGTGCGTGTGTGTGTGTGTGTGTGTGTGTGTGCGTGTGTGCGTGTGCGTGTGCGCGTGTGTGCATGTGTGTTGAATGAACATCCCAATCACCACAAGATACAACGAAACGCCGACCTTTGCGTAGTTTTCTCTTGCTTGTTCGAGGTTTCTTCGTGCGTGTTTCAAGTTGCTGCGCTGCTGGTGGAGTGCATTAGATCCCGAGATGTTTCCCCAGTGCTGCCCTACCCTGCTCAGCCTTGAGGTGTGTATTCATGTGCATTGCAGGTGTGCGTGGTGCGTGGTGCGTGGTGCGTGTGTGCGGTGTGTCAGTGTGTGTCAGTGGTTGCTGCTTCTGACTTGCACCAAAGCAGTGTCCAACCGAGCACGGCAAGCACAGACCGCACACGCACGACTACACTTTCCTTGCCCCCTCCTTGCATCCTCACACACACACACACACACACACACACACACACACACACACACACACGACGACCACGTACCATCCACGGATGTGCCCAGCCACACTCCTTGTCGCCATCGTTCCCTGTTGACTCAAACACTCAAACAAACAACAAAGAAGCAAAGCTGTGTCCGTCCTCCTCCTCTTCTGCCGTGGTTGTGCGGATAAGTTGTTTATGATTTACACAAATTTTCCGTATCCGCTTTCAACAACACACAACCAACAACGACAACGAACAACAACAATGAAGGCTCTCATCTTGGTGGGTGGGTTTGGCACCCGCCTGCGTCCGCTGACGCTGTCGCTGCCCAAGCCCCTGGTGCCCTTTGCAAACAAGCCCATGGTCATGCATCAGGTACGTGGCGTGCACGCGGTAGCACCATTTCATGGGGAAGTGGCGCTGGGGGGGGGGAAGGGTTAACGATGTCGTGAGAAAGAGAAGCAACAAGTGTACAAGGTTCTTGTCTGACGTGGAACAATGCATCCTTGTCGCCTGTGCGTGTGTGAATGTGTGTGTGTGTGCATGTGTGTGCATGTGCGTGTGTGTGCATGTGCATGTGTGTGAAATTCCTTCGTGTGAGTTGGTGATTCTGGGAAGGGATGCATCTCTCTGTGCACTTCGTGCACAACGTTGTGTGTGCGCGTGTCGAGCTGACAGCATGCTGGTGTGATGACGTTGATGGCTCAAGGTTGAGGCTCTGAAGGAGGCTGGCGTTGACCACGTCGTGCTTGCCGTCAACTACCGTGCTGAAATCATGGAGGACGAGATGCGCCAGCACGCCGAACGAGTATGCTGATTTGCCGAATCACTGCATCTCGTGTGTGTGTGTGTTGTGTGCTTGTGTGCTTTGCGTGTGCATGTGTGCGTGTGCGTGTACATGTGTGCATCTGTGTGTGTGTTACTGTGTTTCCTCTTTGTGTGTCACTGTTGCTTGCACCTCAGCCATTGCTTTGCCGACCATGAGCTCACAGTGTGTGTATATGTGTGTGTGTGTGACATTCATTGATTTGTGTCGGGTAGCTTGGCATCCAAATCACCATCTCTCAGGAGAAGGAGCCCTTGGGAACAGGTATGCCTGCGTGCGTTCATCAGCCCCAGTATGCTCAATTGACACAGCTGCACTCCTGACACCATGTGTGTGTGTTTGTGTACATGTGCACAGCTGGGCCGCTGAAGCTGGCTGAGTCTATTCTGCGCGATGGCGAGCCGTTCTTTGTGCTGAACAGCGACGTCATCTGCAACTTTCCCTTCACGGATCTCATCGCCTTCCACAAGAACCACGGCTGCGAGGGAACAATCTTGGTACGCTTCATGCTCCCAGCCCACACCGCCCGTCTGAACCTGCATCCCTCACGCGTCGCTCAAGTTCACAAACATACATGCTTGTGTGTGTGTGTGCGCGTGCGTGTGTGCGTGCGTGTGTGTGCGCGCGCGTGCGTGTGTGCGTGTGTGCGTGTGTGTGTGTGTGTGTGTGTGTGTGTGTGTGCGTGTGTGTGTGTGTATGTGCGTGTGTGTGTGCGTGTGTGTGTCCATCGGCAGGTGACCAAGGTTGAAGAGCCAAGCAAGTATGGCGTCGTTGTCTCCGATCAGGAAACCGGCCGCATCCAGCGCTTCGTCGAGAAACCACAGGTGTGTGTGTGTGTGTGTGTGCGTGTGTGTGTGCGCGTGTGTGTGCGTGTGTGTGCCCTCTTCGTCTGTGTTGTGTGTATGCCAGCAGCGCTCCCCTCATCACATGCCGCCACCACGGATTGCTGTTCAGGTGTTTGTTGGCAACCGCATCAACGCTGGCCTGTACATCTTCAACCCCGAGATTCTCGACAGAATCGAGGTATGACGACCCCCTCTCACTCTTCACTCTCCATGTGCCATGTGCCATGTGCCATGTGTTTGGTCGTGGCGTATGTTGTCCAAGCTGTCGGTTCAGACGGCGCATTCGTGGACCACCACCGCTCACCCCACCGCCTGTCACTACCACCACCAATACCGGCACCACCCCCATACGACGCGTGTTCAGCTGCGCCCGACGTCAATTGAGCAGGAAATCTTCCCTGCCATGGCTGCCGCCAACAACCTCTACGCCATGGACCTCCCAGGTCGACTGCACATCCCACACGCACCTGTTTCGCTCGCTTCCTGAGTTGTTTGTGTGTACCTGAACATGGTTTATTTGCTTCACCCACCCACCCCCTTCTTTTTTTTGTGTGTGTGTGTGTGTGTGTGTGTATTTTGTTTTTCCTTGGCGTTGTACAACAACCAACCACACTACCAATACTTGACTCACCCTTTTACCACCACAACGGTTCCTGTTGTGCGTGTGTGTGCATGCAGGCTTCTGGATGGACGTTGGGCAGCCGCCAGACTACCTCAAGGGCCTGGTGCTGTACCTCAGCTCCGTTCACGCCACCGCACCGGAGACGCTCGCAGCCGCAGACAACAGCGACTACGAGATTGTCGGGCCCTGCCTCATTGTACGTCGTCGCACACCAGAGATGGCTCATGTTGCACGTGAATGTGTGTGAATGTGTGTGAATGTGTGTGCGTGTGTGAGTGTGCGTGTGTGCGTGAACGTGTATGTGTTAGTGTGTGTGTGTTAGTGAATGTGTTAGTGTGTGCGCGTGAATGACACTGTGAATGACACTGTGCATGCATGCATGCATGGATGAGTGCTCTCTTCTCTTCTCTTCGTACCACGTGCGCCTCACTGTTCCTCCACCACGACGATGCGCGCCACGCCAGCATCCGTCTGCCAAGATTGGCCGCGGCTGTAAGATTGGTCCACATGTTGTCATCGGACCAAACACCACCATCGGCGCAGGTGTGTGTGTGTGTGTGTGGTGTGTGTGTGTGTGTTGTGTGTGTGTGTGTTTTGATGAAGCTGCATCAACAGAGTGAATGACAAGCTCACCACAGGGTCCATGCCTGGTGTGTTCTTGCGCATCAGGATGCCGCCTGCAGCGCTGCGCCATCTTCGAGGGCGTTCAGGTCAGCAAACAGTAGCCACATGGCACGCACACACACACACACATGCACATGCCACACGCAACATGCACAACAGCTACGCGTACACACACACACACACACATACATATGCCACACACACACACACACATATTGCACACATGTCCCACATGTCCCACGCACTCTGTCGTGGTGGCGCTCACGTCGTTTCGTGCCGTGTTTGCTGGTGCTGTGTGTAGGTGAAGGCGCACGCGTGGCTGCACTCGGCCATCATTGGCTGGCGGTCCACCGTCGGCGCATGGGTACGACGATGATTTTGGGGTAGAGGGGTGAATGGGGGAGGAGATGAGAGAGTGTGTGTGTGTGGGGGGGGATTGACGATGCCTTTGTAAGCGCGCACTGCGCACATACATACAAGCGTCTCTTACACACACACACACACACACACACACACACACACACACACACACACACACACCCTGCCAGGCGCGTCTTGAGGGCGTGACGGTGCTGGGTGAGGACGTGAACGTGAAGGACGAGCTCTATCTCAACGGGGCGCGTGTGCTCCCACACAAGTCCATCAAGGCCAGCGTGGCAGAACCAGCCATCATCATGTAACCGCGCACAGTACCACGCCAGCAACCGCCCTCGTCATGTGTTTGTGCGGCGTACTTGGCGTTGTTAGTAGCGAATGTGCATGAGTGAATGTAGATGTTTCACGCGGCTCTCTCCGTGTGTGTGCACTGTGTGTTGCATTTGCGTTGTGTTGCATGCTTTTACTCGTTGCCTGCTGTCTTTTCTCGCTTTCTCGATGTTGCTGTTCGAGCAAGCAAGTGGCAGGCAGGGCGCCTGCCCCGCAATACACACGCGCGAGCTATGACATACATTCACACACGAACAACAAGCAAGCCGTTTTTGGGGGCGACATTGAAGAGCATTAGAAGAGGAGCAAAATCTTATCCAAACATACATTCACACAAACACACGCGTGCGTGCATCGTGCAAAGTCACTTAGTTCAATTACGACAAAACAACATGTGGACAGGACCAAGCAATAATGATGGAGTCGAAACGACGTGATGTGATGGGATGTGACAGTCATGTCATGTGATAATCATGTCAACGCGTCAGAACAAACATCACAGGTTGGTTACATCACTGCGATGAGGAACACGAACCGTTGCCCAAAACCGCAGCGTTGCATGGGGTGCACGGGTTACATATGGCATGTACAGGCTGCACACTCGCCATGTGTTACTTCAGGTCACACTCACACCCACTTCCAGACTACACGGCATTGACGGGTTTGTATTGACCACCACCCCTCCCGGGCCCCTGCGCAAACGTCCGCCTGTCACATGCACCGTAGTGGTGGCGTGGATGTGAACGTGAGTATGAGATGGTGGTGGTGGTGAGCAATGGGGAAACAGGATGTCATGGTTGACCCTGTGCCAGACCACGGGCAGTCAGACAACGTCGACGCGGCTTCAAGCAAAGTGTGAAGCGCATGTACACCAAATTATGACAACCCACAGACCTTCGATAAAGGGTTGCAAGTGCGACAATGAGGAGGGCGAGCATGACAATCGCCACCACCGTCAGCGTCGCCGTCCGGGACGAATCAGCCGCCACCTGTGTGTGTGTGTGTGTGTGTGTGTGTGTGTGTGTGTGTGTGTGTGTGTGTGTGTGTGTGTGTGTGTGTGTGTTGCGGGATTGTTGTTGTGGCACAGCGGGGTGTTGTGTGGGAAACGATGGTCGCACACAGGGAAGGACATGCATGAAACATCACGCCCACGCGGGCATCACACAAACATACACATGCAAACGGACAGACATGCACACACATGCATACGCACACACACGTTCACACGAACCAGCTGCTGGTTGTATCCTGGCGCAAAGTGCTGGGTGCGGCCACCGGTGCCGGCACGGGAAGTGCCAGCACTGCTTGTGTGGTGATGAATGGCGACACCAGCGCTCGGCTCAACATAGTACGCGCCGTACATGCCGCCGTGGATGTGGTGCGTCACGTGGCACTGGAACATCCACATGCCCGGATTCATGGGCTCCATGTCTGCAACTGTGATGTATGCTGGCAGCAGCTGCAGCACGTCCACACGATGGCCCTGTGGAGACAGCGTGTGAATGAGTGAGCGTGAATGAGTGTGTAGGATGCGTGTGCGAATGAGTGTGTGTGTGTGTGTATGTGTGTGTGTGTGTGAATGTGTGAGAATGTCAAGGTTAATTCAGTTTTGACACAAACACACATGTACGGACCCTGTGGACAAGGGTGTTGCCGTGCCAGTGCGGGGTGTGCAGGTCTTGTTGGTTTCCAAAGGAGAACAAATACCAGCGTACGCGCTCGCCCACACGCACGCGAAAGCCAGGCATGTTCCCATACACACGCCCGTTAATCCTGCACATGTCAAACACACACACACACACACACACACAGATGCAGGCGTGAGCGCACAGGTCGAGGTGACGCTTGAAACAACAACCCAATCATTAACACGACACACAACCGTGCAGGCAAGCATGCAAGTTTGCAACGGCAACGCGAAACAGGGCAGCAGGCCAATGTTGTCAGGGACGCACGTGTACATGTGGTTGCTCTCCTGGAAGCCATCATCAGCAACAATGGCAGCGAGCTGTTCGTCGCTCTCCGCGTGAAGAAATTCCTGTAAACATGATTTGCGAGACGAGCGATTGTTGCGGTGATACAGTAGCAGGTGGGGGGGGGGACAACTGTGGTGGGTGAAAGGATAAAGGGAGGGGTTGCAGCATGCTCGGTGCAGAGTGCATGTGCGTGTTTCGAGTGGTGTTTGATACGCACGTTGATGTTGAGGGAGAAGTAAGAGCTGAGTCCCTCGTCCACGATGAAGAAGCCCGCAACCAGCTCCCGGTCAACGTCAGCTGGGGTCGCATCCGCCTGCGCACGTGCGCATGCATGTCAGTGTGCGTGAGTGTACGTGAGTGTGCATATTTGTGTGCGCATGCGTATGTGTGAGGATGTGTGCGTATGCGCGTGTGCGCATGTGTGCGTATGTTTGTGTTCACGGTGGCGCGAGTGCAAGGAAAGTAAGTGTCTGCTAAGGCGAAGAGATGGAACACCAACAAAGCAAGCCGGCAGCGCTGTGGTCCCATGAGCAGCGTCGACTCATGTCAATCAGTCAACGGTTCAGTCAGCACAAGCCAGACACGCCAAGACACATCAAGAAACACAAAGCAACGCACGTTTGCCTTGTCACGCGCGGTGATGATGATGACGCCAATGAGACCTGCGTTCGTTTCCCGTGGCTCGTCCACGTGCGAGTGGTACATCCACGCAACAGAAGACCCGTCCATAGGGCCCGGTCCGCTCTGCTCAGGCACCTCCCACGTGTATGTGTACGTCTCACCAGGCGCAATTGCGTCGCCCGCTGTGGAGTTGTCTGCATACGGCGCACCTGTGGCACACGCAAGGGAAGGGGGAAGGGGACAGACCACACATGAGGCCATGTAAGAGTGCGTGTGCGTGTGCGTGGGTGTGTGCGTGGGTGCGTGGGTGTGTGCGTGTGTGTGTGTGTGTGTGTGTGCGTGTGCGTGTGTGTAAGCGTTTGGGTGTGTCAGTGGGTGCACATGACGTGCACAAACCTTCGTTGTCTTTAGTGTACCGAAGACCGTGGGGATGGATGGACGTTGGAAAGTCGACGGCATTGCGGTACACAACCTGAACCGCAGCGAAAACGGGCGGCATAGCGTTCAGGGGCATATTATGGAATAACGCAAGCTAGTCGCCGCGCTGTGGCAAAGTAGCAGGTAACAACACTCGCACGCTTGTACGGGCGCACGCACGCGCGGCACACACAGACACAGGCACACAGACACACAGACACAGACACACACACACACACAGACACACAGACACACACAGACACACACAGACACAGACACACACAGACACACGCAGACACACACACCTTGATGGTGTCGCCAACGCTTGCCCGAATCACAGGGCCCAGCAGCCCAAGGTGTTGCCATTCGGCAGAAACAGGTTTCAGCGACTGGAACGTGCTGTCTGTGTACTCGCGATACTTTGCCTTGTAGTACCTCCGGCCAATCCTAAATGGGCAGCCAAGAGAGCGGGAGGTGGCGTGCACATGGGCGCGATGAGGCAGTGCCTGTATGGGTATCCCGCAAACTCATCGTCACACAACAAAAGAGCGATCCATAGCTGCCATACCTGGTGCTGGACGCCTCCATCCATGTTGATGCGCCGTGCATGTGTCCCATGGGGCCGTGGTGGTCATGCCCATGCTCCGCACGGGCCGTGGTGGTCGTGGTGGTCGTGGCGGTCGTGGTGGTCGGGGTTGGGGTTGGGGAAGAGGAGGCCGGATCTGTGCTGGTTGTTGGTTCCGTGGAGGCCGCAGGTGCTGTCGTGGAGTCAAAAGTCGGTTCAGAGGATGATAATGATCTGGTCGCCTGCTGTTCTGGTTGCTGCTGGTGCCGGTGGTGTTGTGGGCTTTCCTGTTGCCCTTGCCGTTGCTGCTGCTGCGGCTGTTGTTGTTGTTGTTGATGATGTTGTTGCTGTTGATGTTGCGTCTGGGTGGTGTTGTGCTTCGTGTGTTCTGTGTCTCTTCGTTGGCGTGGTGCAGCATCATGCTGCTGCTGCTGCTGGTGTTTCATGCTACCAAAGTCTTTGCCCATGAACACATCACGGCCGCTGGGCGCATAGTCCCACAACTGTAGAGCCAAGAAGGAGGCGGGAGAGGGGAGGGGAAGAGGGGACAAGCGGGAGCGGCAGGTGTGAGTGGGACTGGTACGCAGCTAGCTGCCGACGGAAGCAAGGGCAGAGAGGCAAGAAAGAGCCTGAGGAGACAGACAGAGAGGGGTAGAGAGCGGGGAGAGCGGGGGGAGGGAGAGAGTACAGAGACGAGACAGGGAGACAGGCATAGAGAGGGGGAGATGCAGACACACAGAGACACACAGTCACAGACACACACACACACACACAGACAGACAGACAGACAGACAGACACACACACACACAGACACACAGACACACACACACACACACACACACACACACACACACACACACACACACACACACACACACACACACACACACACACACACACACACACACACACACACACACACACACACACACACACACACACACACACACACACACACACACACACACACACACACGTACCACTTTGTCTGCTGAGATAAAGTACTCTCGAACGACACCGCCACCGCAGGCTGGCCGAGCCATGAGCGTCAGACAAGCGAGCACGCCAGCTAGCACCACGACAGTCGTGGTCACGCGCACCATCCCCATCGTCATCGTCATTCCTTCTTGCGTGCGGAAATGATGACACCATCCACGCCAAGAAGCGTGTTTTTTGCGTTCTCGACTTTCGTGTTCTCCTCTCTCTCTCTTGTGAACCTCTCCTTTGTGTCTTTTGTGTGGCCATGAAGGATAGAAGGATGCTGTGCTGATTGATGTGCTTCGTCTCGTGGTGACAATGAGCGAATGAGGATGAGGACGTTGTAACAGCAGCTGTGTAATGCACCTGCCACACGCCATCCCAAGCATGGCAAGCAACGGCAAGCAAGCCTGCAAGCACGACAAGAAAGAACAGAACCAGTCACAGCACATGCCAAGTCGTCTGGAAGTCTGGAAGGGAAGTCTTTTCGTCTTGTGCGTGTGTGCGCGCGCGCATGTGCATGTGTGTGTGTGTGCCAACACATGAAGACATGAAGAATCACGAACGCAAGCAACAGGTGGGTAACGTCCAACGGACCAAGAAGGCGGCCTGTCACCGCCTCGAGTGCACAACTTCCACCACGTCGTACACCGGAGCATCTCTTATATCTCTTGACGCATTGGACGCAAGTGTTGACGAGTGGGTTGGCACGGCCACCCGAAAGGTAAGAGCGTGCTCACTCCCTTCGTGTGTGTCATACAAATCTGAGGACCACGCGTGAATTGACTGCGGCCGTGTACGATTGCCGTTATCCTCATCACGCTCCCCCGTGCCACGTACATTCTCAGCACCGTCGTGCTGTTTTCGTTGCTTCCGCTGCGGCTGCAGGGGTTGTTGTGGCTGTGGTTGGTGTTGTGGTGGCGGCTTTTGTTGTTGCTGCTGCTGCTGCTGCTGCTGCTGCGTCTCAGATTTGCCCACGTCGTAAAAGGAGGGGTCCCAGCGCGTATGACGGCGGGTGTTCTTTGCGCTTCCCGGCATCGTTGCCAGCAAGCGCGCTGGCACTTGGTACACTGCAAGCAGGCAGGTATCGGGCAGATTGTGTCCACGCACCGCACCACAGGCGTTACATATTGAATGAATGCTCGCATGAGCATGTCCAGTGAAAACAGGAGAGGATGCCACAGAGACGAAACAATGCACAAAGAGCAAGGACACCACATCACACACACACGCACACACACACACACACACGCACACACACACACACACACACACACACACACACACACACACACACATGCACACGCACGCACACCGCAGTTGCGAAAACAAACACAGTTCGAAGGTCGTCCACCCACCATGTTCTTCCGGTTCAACTTGTCCTCCCTCAAACGTCGGATTCATGGTGACAGCACCCTCAGCACCCTACGTTGTGAAGCGTGCGCACATTCATGTTGTTGAAAGAGTTGGGGTCAAGGCCACAAAGTCGTGGGTGCCTTCTGTGCATGTGGGGTCGATCAGCAAGCTGCATTGCTAGCTAAGCACACAACACCGCACAACGCACACCAAAGAACCTAAACAAACACCATAGTGGGAGCCTCGCGACGCATTGCAAACGAAGAGAGTCTGCCTACCGGTGCTGCGAGACGAGACTTGGCCGTTCGTGACCGACACCGTAGCACAACAGCAGCCACAACCACCTGCAGGCACAACAGAGGTAGAGTTAGTGAAGTGCATACACACACGCACTGTTATATTCACGTCCCCAACACGCACCGACACGCACACTTGTGCGTGCATTCACCGGAATGACCTGACGCACCAGCAGAAGAAGCCCAGCAACACCGCCAGCGGCGGGCCCGGCAACGCTGCCGCCTCTTGATGGCGACGATGAAGACGACATGGACCCAGCAACACTGGCACCCAACACCCGGACGTCGCCAACAAACGCCACCTGCTGGGCAAGGTCATCCGCAAACACTTTCGCATCCCTCCACTGCAGCGTGTCAGACGCCCGAACCCCAAACTCAACCACTGTCGCACTTGTTGATACGCCAGGCGCAGTCTTCCTCATTCCACCATCTTTTACGTTGAACACCACCACAATCTCGACATTCAGCGCTTCCTCCAGATCGCGCTCAAGCTGCAACACCCCGCCAAAGATGGTCTCTGGCATGCCTGCAAGCACCAGCTCCACCACCACATCCTCCTGCTCCGGTCGCATCAGCGCCTCAACCACCACCGTCCGCACCGCGACACCCGTGTTGCCACTGGCATCCATCACTGCGTACTCAATCTCGTACGTCCCCGCCACGTGCACGTCAATCACATCGGCCCCACTCACCACCACCTGCGACGTCACGTTGCCGTCGTGCACATCCTGTGCGCTGTACCCGGCCTCCACATACCGTGTCGCATACGGCACGTGCACCTCTTCCGCGCCATACAGCGTCACGACGGGTGCCGTGCGGTCCAGCACGTGCACGGTGCGAATGGCAAGCCGACAGTTGTCGGCCTTGTCGCACGCGTCGTACTCCACCGTGAACACAGCGGGCGCAGACGGCGGCTTGCTCAACACGTTGTTGGTGACCACCACCTCCACCCCGCGCCCAATCGCATCCTCCAGCAGGTCTGTTGCTGTTGCTCCTGCATCGACATATTCCGTCCCGGCCTCGTGCGTGATGTTGTGCTCGCCATTGATGGTGATGGTTGGCGCCATCGTGTCCCGCACCTCAATCACATACACCACCGTCGCCGTGTTATCCGACGCATCCGTCGCCGTGTACGTGAACGTGAACTGCGTGCCGTCGTCCACGACCGAGCTGAAGGTCTGCGAACAGGGTGTGTGTGTGTGGGGGGGGGGGGAATCGGGGGAAATGTGAGTGTCAAGGGAAAAGGGTGCGTGAGACGGGGAGGGAGAAGTGGGAGAAATGGAAGCGATGGAATAGTGCATGACGTGGTCAAGACACACCAGCGACAAGGAAGACGCAGGAAAAGAGCGACAACGCACCGGCTCTTCGTTGCGTCGCACGTCGCCGCCATTGACAGCGGTGTCGAATGTATCAAATGCAGACTGGCTCGGGAAGATAAACTCTGTTGCCGCCTCGTGGATAACCACGTTGTGTTCCGACACGTCGCGGTCGCCAAAACCAATGGTGATGACCTGTGATTGGTTGGCAATGTGTGACAGGGATTGATGAGGAAGTGAACAGATAAAAGAGTTGAATGGGAGGCAAGGAGAAACGGAGGCAAGGAGGTAAGTGAGTGTCCACGTAGATGAAGGCACGCACACACAAACACAAACAGACATGCACACACAAACAGACATGCACACACAAACAGACATGCACACACAAACAGACATGCACACACACACACACACACACACACACACACACACACACACACACACACACACACACACACACACACACAAACTCACTGGTGCAAGGGTGTCGACGACGGCTGCTGTGCGTGTGGTGGGCGGCGCCTCGTTGTTGTTCGAGTCGGGTGCAGACAGCGTGTAGACCACCTCGTACATGCCCAGCGTGTTCACGTTCACGTCGCTGTCATCGTATTCCAGCAGGTTGATGCCCAGTGTTCCGTCCACGCGGTCCACGATGGAAACGCCGACCGTGAAGTTGCTGCGCATCACCTCCTCCCCGGCCTCCAGCTGCAGCACTGCAGGGTCAAATGTGATGGCGGGCCCTGTCGTGTCCACGACTACCACGGTGATGGTGCGTGTTGCCGTGTTCATGTTCGCATCCGTCGCCTTGTACGTCAGCATCTGGTCAGAACGCACAGTGCCTGTGTGCGTGCGTTGCGTGCGTGCGTGTGGTGTATTGTGTGCGTATTGTGTATTGTGTAGGTGATTGTGAGAAAGGGGGTGCACAAAGCAGAGATACACACATGTGTGGACATTCAGCCGCACCCAGAGGGGCAGCACATCAATTCACGGCATTCACGCACTCACTCGTGTCAATATCGTCGATGTTGGGTGGTAGTGTCTTGGTGACAGCGCCGGCTGCTGCGTCTGTTGCGGTGAAGATCGGGGGCTCAAAGGCAAACGTGGCTTCGACGACATAAGTGTTCGTGATGACGGCGTTGTTGTCTGGACGGCGCAGCACGATGGCCGGTGGATCTTTGTCTGGAGTAAAACGCAGAGCAGTTGGTCAGAAGAAGATGAAGCCAGCGCGTGCTTGCAGGCAGGCAAAGGTGCAACCGTGCACAAGATCCCGCGCATATCAGCAACACCTGTGCATGTGCGGTCAGTTGACGGTGTGCATGGCGTGTCCTCGGCGTAGCCGATAGTGCACTCGAAACAAGACAAGCACCCGCTCTGCCCCGATTTTGGCTGGAACGTGCCAGGCGGACATGACAGGCACGTGGTGTACTTGTGGCTTGGGCTCGCTCGGAATTTGCCTGCAGGCAAATTGGTGGAGGGCGTGGTGGTGGCACAGTGTGTGTCACACAGAAAACCATGAAACAGACGGGGATGTACGCGCGAGAATTGAAACGTGCACACAAAGACACAGACACACAGACGCACAGACACACAGACATACGCCGCCTACCGGCTTCGCAGGCTTCACACGTGCGGTCAGCTGTGGCGCTGCCAGCCTTGAACTTGGTTCCAGCACCACAGGTGTTGTACGTGATGCAGCCTGCCGCAGACACGCTGGAGATGGCGGAACAGTGGGTGCGTGAACGTGAACGTGGTGGACGTGAACAAGTGATATGCTGGTATCGAGTAACATAACACGAGCGACATGATAGAACAAACACCAACCACCAAAGTCATCCTGGGACGTACTGTATTGGCCAGCGATGGGTTGATAGGCGTCCACACACGGTTTGCAGCCGGTTTGACCCGATTGGTCTTGGTAAGTGCCAGGTTCGCACAAAATGCACGTGTCAAGGCTCTGCAAGGTGCTGTATTTGCCAGGGCTGCAAGCCTTGGCACAGATGCGATCCGAGGTTGGCGGCTCAGAGATGCTAAAGTAGCCGTCATCACAGGTCGTGCTTGTCTTGCAACCTTGGGAGGCAGCAAACAGACAACACACACACACACACACACACACACAACACACACGCACACAACACACACGCACAACACGCACACACGCACACACACACACGCACAAAACAGTAAAATGTGAGGTGTGACAAGGACCGACGAAGCGAGAAACAACACAGGGACCACAAACAACATCATCCCGATTGCACCCTCGAAGCGTGCCCTTTCAAAGCCACACCCACAGACACAGACAGACACAACGCGAGCGACGTACTTGAGCGGCCGCTGTTGTCTTGGTATTTGCCGCTTGGGCAGTCGGAGCAAGTCAGACGATTGGACCTGGGCGTGTACTTCCCTGCTGGGCAGGCGTCGCAGCTTCGGTCTCGTTTCGTGGTTGCAGATTGCTTGACGTACTTGCCAGCTGCACACGTGGACCACGTGTAACAGTTGTCGTCACGGTGATTGACCTTCGCTTGGTACTTGCCTGTAGTGTGGTTCGTGAAGTCATATCACTGGTGAATAAACAACCATCGGTGCAGTGCTTGGTCTGTTCACTGAGGCGAAGCACACACATATACACACAAACACACAACACACAAACACACAACACATGCACACACAGACACAGCCACAAAGATACAAGCACGTGCGCGGCGAGCTTTGACATACCACTTTCGCAGGCGGGACATGTGGCATCTTGATTCTTGGACACGTGCTTGTACCGATGTCCTGGCTCACACCGTCTTGTTGGGTAGCAATCAAAGTTGCCGACCGAATCTTTGTACCTTCCGAACGTGCACTTCTTGCAGTAGTCAAGGAATGGAATGGCCGTGATCTCATAGTGCTCATAGGCTGAATCGTGTAGGGAGGAGATTGTGGTGGTGGCGCAAGTAACGAAACAGAGTTGGGCATCAGTGGGGACACGCGTCATTGCAGTAGGGTCAGGGGTTATGGGTGCACTCAACCTTCGCTTCTGCGTCCTTCACGCCAGTACGCAAACACACGTACGCGCGCCCACGTTTGCATGATGCCAACCTGCGTTGCACTTGCAGGAACCACTCTTGCATTTTTCGCTCCCGTCCTGAGCACACGCTGAATTGTCATTGCAACTTTGGCCCACAGCCTCTGCAGGCAGCAGTCATTTCACACGTGTGCATGCAAGCAGCGCGAGCTTGGCGTGAACGGCAGTCAAGACAGAGGGCTAGAGAGAGACAGCAGGCCAAGGCACGATCCTTTCTTTGGCGGCTTTGGTAACACACGGGAGGACAGACAGAAAGACAGACGGACAGACAGAAAGACACACACAGCGCACACACACAGCGCACACACACACACACACACACACACACACACACACACACACACATGACCTTACCTGTGCAGTGCAGAGATGACAGCGCGTAGGCGATGGTGAGCACAGCCACTGTGGCCGCCACAGCTGTCCGCACAACAAGACGCATCGGAGTTGTTGTCCACCAAGTCAGAGCAAGAACACCATAAATTGCAGTCAGCGATCGAC